AAGCCATCAGGTCTGGAACTCAAACCATGTAGTCAGCCATGTGAGATCCAGTCACCTTAACCACCACACCACTGACTGGTCCTAAAATATTAGTAAATCACTTTAAAAATTTATAATAAGAATTATTTATAAGGATTGTTTGAGGTCATTGTTTGTGACATCACTTAGTATCCTAAATATAAAGAAAGACCTTAGACAGAAATGTCTTTAATACTACAGTCCCAGAAAAAGCAGTAGGTGTGAGCCACTAAAGTAGAGTTCAGGGCCCCTGGCCCTTCAAATGCATAGTCCAAAGTGTTGTGAGCTCACTAAGTTGTCCAAAGAGGACTCTGCTCACACAGAGGTCGGGCCCATGTGTCTAAGCTATTAGAGTCATGTTAAAGTCAGATTTGTTCAAGATGGAAAGTAGGAACAAAGAGAAAGTCACAGCAAGGTCTCTCTACCAGCAAAAAGGAGCAAATGAGGTACAGGCACTGTCAGTAAAAGTCTGTTTATACAAAAATACAAAAGCTACCTATTTGTACACCTTGACTTTAGAGACTCTCTTGAAAATGCTTTGCAGCGGCCAGCCCACAGCATGGTGGGTAAGGTGACTGGATCCCACACAGCCAACTATGTGGTTCAAATCTGGAACCCAGTGGCTTGCAAAACACACTAGGCATGTGTGCTTGCATGCCTAAAATCCTGAGAGGAGGAATAAGTGGAGGAGAACAGAGTGCTGTATAGCCATTCCCCATGATGGGGAGGTATTTCCTCACTTCCCTCTCTCTCTCTCCAGTGAACACAAGCTTCCTCTAGCAAAGTTAGAAAGAAAGAAAAAGAAAAAGAGAGAAAGAAAAAGAGAGAAAGAGAAAAAGAAAGAAAAGGCTTTGCCATTACAGCTTTGGCTTTCACTAAAAATTTTTTTCCAGATAGCCATATGAAAAATTATTCTGAATTTACTAGAACAAATCTTGTCAGGGTAACCCATGGCCTAGTGGTTAAGGGAGCCAAATCCCAACATGACTAACTGTGGTTCAAATCCCAACTTTGGAACACACTGGGTGTGTGTGCATGCCTGCCCAGAATCCAGACAGAATGGAGAAATGGAGGAAAAGGGATTGAGGCATGATCATGCCCATTGAGAGGACTGCTTTCTCTCCCACTCGCTGTCCCTCTATCTGTCTCTAGTGAGCACATATACCCTCTGACAATTAAAAAAATAAAAATAAAATAAATGAACTTTAAAAATGAAAAGATCTTGTCAAGGCCCAGCTGTGTGGCGCAACAGTGGTGCAATGCTCTGCAATGCAAAAAGTCATATAGAAGACAGGAGTTCAGTTCCCCGGGTGACCTGTACACACTGGATATGCACAGGCTCATGATTCTGCCTGGATCAAAAGGCTCAGGGCTGGGTGTGGAGGGATGGTGGCATGGACCTTGTTAAGGATGCAAGTCTCTCTTTCATGAGAGAGGAAGGGAGGAAGGAAACTGTAAAAAAAAAATCTTGTTTAAAATATCATCCTCTTTTTTTTAATGTCTCAAACTTAAAAGTCCCAGATAAAAAATGTTGTACAGAAATTAGTTAAGGAAAAGTTTATTTCTTTTACAAATTCCAAGGCTTGCTCATGTGGGGTAATGGAATCTGGGTATTTTTGAACTTTCCTTTTTTCCTCTGGTCATCAAGAAGCTCAGACCAAAACTTGCCACTCAATCAGAGCAATCATACAAGCTCACAGAGTTGACCTATTATTTCTTCTTTCATTCTTTTTTTTTTTTTTTTTTTTTTTTTTCTCTTGGGTGGTGGCGCTTTTTTTTTTTTTTTGCTCTAGGGTGTGTGCGCTCACCAGAAAGACAGACAGAGAGACAGAATCATCCCCCAGGGGGGGATGGCCATGCTGCAATCCCTTCTCCTCCACTCTCCTCTCAGGAACCTGGGCACGCACGCACACGTGCCCGGTGTGAGTTCAAGCCACCAGGTCCAGGACTCGAACCGCAGTTGACTACTTGGGAGTCCAGTGACACAGCCATAAGGCCAACCACTGGTGCCACATATATTAGAGTGTCTGAAAAGTCGGGAAGTATTTTTATATGTTTTTTCCATGCAAAAATGTGTCATGACTTTCCTGACAACCTAATATTTTGTTTGCTGCTGCTAGGTAGTTGTTAATGTGCAAAAAGGGTCACTTAGGGTCTCTGACTGAGGTATCACTGAGGAGAACCCGGGTGAGTGCACAATGGAAGGTAATGGATCGGTTCTACTCAGGAACTTGAGATAGGAGTTGCAGCTCAACTGGATAAATGAAGCAGCCAAGGAGGGTCTGTGACAAAGGACTGGAGAGCACTTGCACATCAAATGGAAGGAGCTGCCACTCAACCTCTAAGATTAGTGTCTTGAGGTAACATAAGCTTGGACTGGCAGCTCTTACAATTTTTCAAGAAAAACTAGAAATCTAGATTTTAAAAGGAATTCTGTTTGAAATGTTGACAGCTAAATCATTTTTCTTTCTTTCTTTCTTTCTTTCTTTCTTTCTTTCTTTCTTTCTTTCTTTTTTATTTTCATAGAGCACTTGCACTTTCTGGAGAGAGACAGAGAGAGGGAAAGTGAGAAGTCACCTCCCAGGGGGGAATGGCCACGCCACATATTTTTTCTGTTCTCCTCTCTGAATTGGGCATGTATACACACACGCCTGGCATGATTTTCAAGCAACCAGCACCAGGACTCAACCCAGTCAGTCATGTGGGAATCTAGTGCCTTAACCACCACACCACCTGCTGGTCCCATAAGTAAATAAAAAAAATTTTTTTTTTTCGTTAGGTTTTTGCTATAGGGCATGTGCGCTCGCCAGAAAGACAGAGAGAGACAAGAGAGATAGAAAGCAAGAAATCGCCCCCACGGGGGGATGACAATGCTGCAATTTCTTCTCCTCCATACTCCTCTCAGGATCTTGGGCATGCATACACATGTGCCCAGTGGGAGTTGAAGCCACCAGGTCCGGGACTCAAACCGTAGTCGGCTACATGGGAGTTCAACAACATATCCATTATGCTAACTGCTGGTCCCTAACTAAATCAAATGTTAAAAAATACCCTGGACCAGTAGAAAATGGAATGGTGACTGCCAAGGGGGGTGGGGGGAGGGAATAGGATGTTGTTCAGTGGGTATGAAGTTCAATTACATAAGATGAATATATTCCAGAGCTCTGCTGTACAGCATAGTGCCTATAGTTAACACTTACATATTTGTTCTGGGCCAGCTCAGTGGTCCAGCAGCAATGCTTTGCTCAATTGATGCTGTACCCATGAAACTGGCTGACTGGGAAGGCTGGAGAGGATCATGGCACAAGACCCTGTTAAGGGTACTTAGCATTCTCTGTGTGTGTGTGTGTCTTTCACACTCATGAAGAAAATAAACTTTAAAAAAATTGCTAAGAGGAGAGATCTCATGTGAAATGTTCTAGAGGTGATAGATACATCATTACCTTGATCTTGGTGATGAAATTATTACAGTCATATGCGCAAGTCCAAACTCATTCAATTGTTCACATTAAATATGTGCAGTACTGTATATATTAATTATACTTCTCAATAAGGCTATTTAAAAAAAAAAAACATTCTGGACCAGGCTATTGTCTGTGATCTGGTTCTGGACTTTTGGGCTTGGAGACATCTGGAAGCAGTTATCAGGAATCCAGTTACCAGGGGACAAAGCAGGAACTTTGCCACCAGGACATTGATGTCATAATGATACCAGAGATGACACACACTCAAGCCTCTGAGATACCTGAAGTTTTGGGTTTCATCTCAGATTATGTGAGCATGAATTGGTAAGGAAAGCCCTGGCCTTGAAATCTGGAAACATAGCCTTGGACTCCACTCTGCCAGCCATGAATTATGTATTGGCAAACACACTAAATTTCCCTAGGCCTCCATAGCACTCACAGCACCAGAAGGAGGTTAGCTAAGACTTGTGAATCTTTCCTTTTTTTTTTTTTTTTTTGAGGGGGTTTTTCTTAGGGGCCAATTGGTTTTGCGAA